AGCAGTACTTTTCCCCAGCCCCAGCCTGCTTTTATTGCTGGGAAATGAGCTCTGACTCCTGGAAGTGGTATTTCTTCCTTCTGCCTGACAGCTTGTCGATCCTTGCCCTCAGTCTCTTCCCTGGGGAAGGTGCACACAGCCAGGCACCAAGCAAGGAGCCTTGTGCTGTACTTGGCAAGGAAGGCAGAGCTTGAGAGGGGGGAAAAGAGGCAGATCATCTCCAGAAAATGGAACGGGGCACAGTGCTAGGTGGGTTACAGGGACAGTCGGGCTTGAAGCTGATTTTAGGATTTGGTTCGGTTGTAGAGTCAATGATAACTGGCTTTTTAATTTGCTACTGCATGACCTGGCAGTGGTTGAACCCACATGGGTGCAAGCCTTGCAGCAGCTGGGAGCTCTGGGAGGCACTGTGGGCTGCACCAGCACTCTCCTCTGCTGGGCACAGCCCTGCTGTCACCTCCAGGTGCTGTCTGCAAGGGGATAGGGGGACCAGGAGTGTAGGCACAGCTCAGGGGCATCATCCTGCCGGAGCTCCCCCTCGAGCCCTCGCAGAGCCAGTGGGGAATAGTGGCTGGAGCAGTGGCTGATGGAGATGGATTGTGTGGGAGCAGGTGCTAGGGCAGCAGTGGGAATGGAGAATGGCCTTTGGGGAGGATTCCCAGGCTCCTGGAGCCTAGATTATTGCTTATAAAATCTTCTTTGAACTGTGGCTGGCAATGGCCACGGTCAGCCTGGTGTAAAGCAACCGGGACGGTGATGGGGATGGATGTACAGAATGTACAGGAGCTAATTATGCAAACTTAAAAATAACGAAACATAAGTGAGATGGGATTTTTAAGAAGAACATGACCTAGTTTGGTGGCCAGGAACAGCAAGTGGCTGGTGGGTGACGGGCAGTGGGCAGGGGCTCGGGGTTTCCATCACCACCAAGAATCGGGGCTGTGCTGGCACGGGAGCAGAGTGCTGAGCTTGAGAGGAGACTGAGAGCTTACCTGAGCATTGGCCTGGCTTCAAATCCTGGTCAGCATCCTGTATAATTTCCATATAAACCCATGATGTGCTGTGATGGAGCAGAAGGAAAGGAGCAAACTCAATACTTCGGCTTTCGAGGGCTTTTCTTTTCCCCCTTGTGCTGGGGGTGGAGGAGCCTGTTCTTGAGGCTGGC